AAAACATAAATGCAGATAATGTGGAGATTTTTTAAATCAAAAAAATTATTTACTTCCAGTAAATTTAAAAACTCAACGAAATAATGATTTTCTAAAAAAATATAAATTACCAAAATTGACCCAAGAATATATAGATAAGCCAAATAGAACTACAGATATTAAAGCAATTGATTCATTGGTCAAAATCTACCTATATGCAAAAAATCATCAAATTTACTTAGTTTTACAGGTTAGTTTTTTACAATCATATAAGGAACAAACAATTTTATACAATATGTTCTTTGTATACTTCTTAGGGCTTCAAGATACATGAAAGAATTCTGTATGAAGTAAAGCATCCCATTAATGACAAATAGTGTTTTCACTGTTAGAGTTAATACAGAGTACCATCTTCATTTTGTGAAAAAGTATCTATTATTTTGAAAGGTACAAAAACACTTTGGTGGTAGAGGATAGTCAAAAAATTTTAGAAGACATCTAAGTTGGTCTTTAGAAAAAACATGATTATTCATCTTTCAGACAGAAAGCAAAAAAATGTATGAGTAGCCCAATGGGAGTAGATGAAGACTTTGAGAGAGAAAGGAATAGAACTCTTCTTTTAGCTTTATTAGGAACCAATGCATGCCACCAGGGAGTCCTGACTTAAGATGCATGTTCAAAGTGAGATGTGGTTCAAATAATGGGTGAGGATCATGAGCTCCATCCACTGACCAACCAAGTGGTGAATATGCTTCAGGAAAACCAAAGAGGACAAAAAGAAACAGACAAAGCACAGGATAAGTTTTTTCAAAGACCAAAATCTCTGCAATTCAGGCAGATATCAAACTCTTTGGGTTTCGTATTTCAAATTCAGGATGGCCTGGAGCCCAGAGGAATATCTTCATGAGCCAAACTGCTGTCTTTCCCTTAAAGTAATAAGAATACAAGTTATTTAATTTCAAGACAGCAGGATGAAGGGAAGTGGAGAATTCTGCATCCTAACCCAAAGTTTAGGGGCCGAGGAAATGGAAAGAGCACATTGACTCGTGACACTTGGAAGGAGAGGCAAACAGGCCAGCCCCACAAGACCACAAGATATAGGAAGGGGTATTTGAGGAATCCTAGGACAAGGAAAGGAGCTCTGCTACTTTAGGCAGCAGGGGACCCAGCACTCTGTCCTTGAACCTTGAGAAGAGACAGAGTGCATGCCCAAGTTCACCCAGGTCAGCACACATCCCACTGACCCATTTCATGGGCAAGGAAATCAGAGGAGACGATCTGAAAACACACCAGGATATTCTTCTCTTCTTAATTCTTTGACTACTCATTATTCCACGCTAATGAATTCCATCCCTGGGTTCAGGATTTACCAAGCAAAGTGTGTATGTATAACTGTAAAAAAAAATCAATGGTTACTCAAAATATAAATATTCAAAGTGAAAGAATAATAAGAGTTCACGTGTGTGAGGACCTAAGTAAAAACAAATGAGGAAATGTTTCTTGCCAAAATTTTTAAAGCTTTTCTAAGATGTATTAAATTTGCTGGGTTTTTTGTTTTTTTAAAACCTACTTCATATACACATAGACATCATCATCATCATCCCCATTAAGCATTATCAGCATGGTTTTAGTACATTTTTTAATAACTACAGAATCACTTTTTTTTGGACAAAATAATTAAAGCGTTGATTTTCCCTGATAATCAGGTAGAACAATGAAAAGTTAAGCTGAATCATTCAACACTTTGCCTAAATGTGTTTTCTTACTTCTGAATGTAATATTTCTAAGATCATAGTGTGCTGCAACTTAGAAAAACCATTCTAAATTCACCATCAGGCATTATTTAAATTTCCTACAAATATTATCAGGAGCCTCCACTTTAGGCAACATGTTATCTTTGTTAATCACTAGCAATGTTTCTCCATGTTCTCCTGAGCAGGTAAGTTCAGGTAAACCAGATATATGACATAAAAGTGCCCAAGCAGAAACCATGGCATTTTGCAGGAGTTAACATTTGTGGTCCCTCATAGCCTCACTCCCCCTATACAACTCAAATCATCCTCCTTGCCAAGTATGAGCAACTTAAGTCATATAAGCCACCCCAAAATAACAGCTTTTTCAGTGCAAACGCTGAAATAGGAAAAAAAAAAAAAAAGCTGAAATAGAATTCGAATGACTATGACTGTTCAATGGGCTGTAAAAGTGTCCCATAGTACCAGGACAGTCTTGCCCTAAGCCAGACAGAACATTCATGGCCCCAGAGGTGGGAGAAGGGGATGGAGATTTCTGGAGATTTCTGGGCTCCTCTAGGAAAACAGTGGAAGCAGCAGGCTGAGCTATATGCAGGAAGAACCTAGAGAAAAGACATGGGTCTTGGACTCACTCCACTTTCTGCCCTGAGAACTGTACCGTTCTCTCCACTCATGGCAGTCTCCACTTGGCTCTTCACACCCCTTTCTGGATGGGAGACATGAACATCTGTGTTGTCTTCCTTTCACCACCCAGACGCAGAAAGGAAAGATAAAATACTAGCCAGAGAAGGAGTTGAGAATTGGTGGGAGGCAGACGATCAGGAAGGTAACAAATGCAATATGTGATGATTTCTACAGTAAAATACATCACAGGGAGAGTAGAGACTGTGGTAAGCAGAGCAGAAGTGGGCCAGGGAATATAAACACATCTGGGCCAAGAAACTGCTAACAGGCAGATAAATACACCTGTGAACTCTTACACAAGCAAGCATGAGCACTTTTTAACAAAATATCTCACAATGACCCAATAAGATGAATGGAACACAACAGAAAGAGAGCAAGTGCAAAAAGGCAACCCACAGGATAAGAACACTTGAAAAGGGCTAAGCTAAGACAGAAGTACAAAACCACAGGAGGCAGCCCAGGCCAGTGGAAAAGGCACTGCAGTGCCAGACCCAGCACAATTACTGCTGCTACTCTGACTACACCGCCACTACCGCTGCTACTAACGATGGCAGTACTGATGGAGTACTTGCTACTTGCGCAACACTGTTCTAAAGATGTTAGATGTATTCATTCTCATTTAGTCCTCACAACAGAACAAGCCTCCAGGACAGACACAAAGATGAGACAGACAGACCTGGCTGGAATTCTGGCTCACCACCCAGCAAGTTAACCTCCCCATGTCTCCGTTTCCTCCTATATGAAACAAGTTAGTCATACCTATCCGGCATGGTGGTTGTGAAAATTAGAGATAATAAACTTAAGTGCCTACTAGCAGCTGTTATTAGTATAATTAATCTGATTAAAATAATCAGGAGTGAGGAACAGAGGAAAGAGTTGGAGTAGAAACGGCAACGAAGAACCAGCAATGGAAACGGCACAAAAGCAGCCCTCAAGTGGTGGAGGCTGAGATGGAGGGAGAGTGAATAGAGCACTGCTTTGGCTGCCCAACTCTGTGCGCCCTGGGGGTGAACTCTCTGAGCCTCAGTTTCCACCTCTACCAAGTGGGAGTATTAACACTGGCACTCCCTACAGAGTAGGGTTGTTGTGAAGGCCCTACGAAGAGCTGGCATCTGAATTAATTAGTAGAGGCAACAATTTATATAAGTATACATATCTCCTTGATAGATGGGGAAGCCCATTCCCCTTACACCACTTCTCAGGTGGAATTAAGACACTCAACTAGCAGAACAATGTCAAAGCCAGGAAATGACCGACTGCAGTCATTAAAGAGCGTGTGGCTCCTTTAGTCACCACTAATAGAATCTAATTGATTTAATCTGACATTGAAAGTTAGCTTCAGGCTTACCTACTACAACTTCTACCCTCTTAGAAACCATCCCTTCTACCTGCTTTGCACTCCTCTCCCTGTGTATGCCTTTGCTCATTCCTCTCTGCAATGTCGCTTCCTGTCCTCTCCAACTGACATCCTGGTCATCCTTGAAAACCCAGTTTAAATGCTTCCTCTGCATCTTGAGGAAGTGATCTCTGGCTCCCTACACTGCCGTATTATCTTTTCTGAACTTGTCACCCTACTCAGCACCTTCCTGTGCTATAATCACTAGTGTGTATGCCTCCCCGCCACTAATCAAGGCTCCTTGAGGATGACAGACAATGTTTCTTTTCATCCTTTATACAAACCTGCCTCTACCTCATGGGGTGAAGTCATAAATCGTATGTAATGCATGCAGACTTCTGATCTAACAACTTTTTCGAATCATTACAATACATATATAACTGCCCGCAGTTATATATGTCAAGATTTAAGTCTTTAAAATATAAAGTAAAAATAATAATACAAAGGACCATAATAATAACACAAAAGTTTGTGTGCAGGGGATAATAAAGAGGAGAAAATAAATTCTGAGGTTTCTGCTTTCCAAAGGGGAGTTAAAGGTGGTGTGGCAAGTGGGTTAATTATTTTTAAATATGCATTTGGACTCCCTGGCCTCAGTCACCTCTAAAGCAAGTTTCCTGAAGAAGCTTCTTGACAGTCTCAGCCCCAAAGAGGGAAGAGACTGGGCGCTCTTGCGGCAGCTGCAGGCACTCAGGTGTCCCTGGCCCCCTTCCATGCACCTCATTAGCCAGGCGCACGGCAGGATCTATGTTACTGCCACAGCGCCTCTCTCCCTCTCTCCTCAGGCATCCAGCGCTTTAGCCATATTAGCTTCAGGGCTTGCCTGCTCCTCTCTCCCTGCAGATGGGACTGATACTCTTCAGCCCACTTCCTCAGTAAAGAGGTCTCACTCAACTTTGGCAAAGGGCTGTCAAACTTGGCATTCCATGCAGAAGTAAGCAGCAAATCGTCCAGTCTGTATGGGCTAATACTTTGAGGCCATTTCAAGGCCAGTATCCACTTACAAACCGAAGCACGAACCTGCTATTCCTGGGGTCCTTTTCGACCAGAAGCTGCTCTATCTGTTGTTCCTGCCCTGGTCCAGGGAGAGGTGGCCACGACCTGAAGGTCAACTCGCCAACCCAGTCACCCTCCGGGCGTCCCCGTCTCGATTCGCCCTCTCCCACACCCTGGGGGTCCAGCTCGCTCACCAATCTTGGCCAGGGAGGCTAGCAAGATCCACAGGGTGATCTCGAAGGGGATCTGAACGTGGGGGTAATCCAGGGTAAACACGGGCAGCCGGCTCTCCTCGAACGGCGTCGTTCCAGGAGCCACCACGCTCGCGGGGCTGGGCGGGCTGGAGCTGGTGCCCATGGCCTTCGGAGCGTCCAGCAAGGTCTCCGCCAGGGTGCCCGCCGGCCCTGCCACCTGCAGGAGGAGCAGCAGCAGAAGCAGAAGCGGCGGCGCCCACAGGCTCCGCCCGGTGCCCGCCGCTTCCATGGGGTCGGCTCCGGGTGCCGCGGACTAGCCGGGCGCTCGGCCCTCTCCGCGCTCAACGCATCACACCGGGCAGCGCCGCCCGCTCGGCCCCGCGCAGAGCTGGACAGCGAGAACCGCCCGCGGCCGCCGCCCCCGCCGCGGGGCCGAGTCTCTGCGGCCAGCGGGCTCAGTCCCCGCTGCGGGCTGGCGCACTGTCCAGCGGGGCGCGCAAGGCGACTAGAGGCCACCGCGCGGACACTCGGCAGCCCTCAGCCGCCCTCCGCCGCCGGCCGCCGGCCCATGTCGCGTCCGCGGCTCTCGGGCCGCAGCTGCAGGCCCTGCCCCGGGCGGCCCGCGGGCGGGGGCGGGGGCGGGGCGGGCGCGGAGCCCAGGCCGCCCGGCGGGAGGGCGCGAGGACCCGGCAGGCACACCGCGCACCTGCCCGAGCCCGCGGGCGACGCGGGGCCCCAGAGGCCGCGGGGGTGAGCCCTGTGCTTCCTTCTCGCCGGCACTGCGCCCCAAAACCCACCGCCCTCGGAGACGGCGAGCTGTGGGGTGGAATCGCCGCGCCAGGCGCACGGTGGCCAGAGCTGTCTCCGCCCCGGAGACGGCGTCGGGCGTCCATCCAGTGAAGGGACAGGAGCGACCCACGCTTCGCGCCCTTTCCCCCCCGCAGTCCCCTGCGAGGGGACACCCTGGTGTGCTGGGCGCGTGGGGAGGCGCCACAGGCTGGGAGTCGCGAGGAGAAGCCCGGCCGGTGGAGTAGGGGTGCTGTCACCCCAGCCCGCGCGCTGCTCAGGCCCAGACACGCAACGGGGCTGTCTGGGTGTACAGAAAGTTTAGAAAAGCCTCATTTTATTCCCCTTCCAAGAGTTATCAAATCTCGGACAAGGTACGCTGTGCGCACTGAAACTCCCTGTGCGGAACTCGGCGTTCCCACGCCCCCGCGGAATCCTTTTCTCTTCCACATTGTACTTTTCGCTCATTGTAACACTGCCGATTCCACTTTTCTTCTCCCTCCCCTAACTCACGAAAAAGAAAAACATCTTTCTCTGTTTTTAGGCTGAGAGGTGTCCAGGTCCGAAAGCATGAGAAATATAATTATTTCATGGAAAACCAGTGATTTGCCTCGCTCAGATTGACTTGCTCCCGTAATTACAGGACGGGCTGCTGCGGTTAGGAGAGGGACGGAGAGGAAGCGCGATTCTCCTTCTGGATCTCAAAGAGCTTTCTCTTCCAGCGCCAGCCTTTCCCGTCCTGGTTGGGAGCGCAGCCTTGTCACTGGTTGCTGTCTCGCGGCCCCAGCATCTTTATCGCCAGAAACCCAAATGAGCACAAAAGCAGACTAGTTGCCACTCAATTAACTGAAACAATTTTCCCTTTGGTATTTATGAAATAAAATCCTTCTCTTAGTGTTTCACGTGTCAAAACATGTGGCTCCTACTATTAAACAAACACCAGGCAGTTTTCGAGGCAGATTTTTTTTTTTTTTCAATATTCCAAGATAGAAAATCAGTGAAATGTCAGCAGAGGGTACAAGAAAAAAAATCCTCCACCTGAACAGAAGCAAATAAGAAATAGTCCTCTTTGGGCCTTGAAAGTAACTCAAGGACAAGTACAGGCTAAAATTGGAGAAAGATTCTAAGATGACATAGAGCACTACTTCAGTTAATGTTTTATAAAGCATGAGTTTTTCAAAAGTGCAACAGAATTTAATCTAAAGGTATTATCACCTTAAAAACAATCACTAAGCCATCCAAAACTCAGCCTCCCCTTCTTTCTTCACTGGAAATGTTTATTAAAAGTGTGTGTCTAAGATACCCATGTGAGAAAGGAGAAACAAATAAAAGCTTCTTATTTGTTTATTTTTAATTGACTATCTCTACATGGGAAGCTCTTTGCAATGCACTTTACTTCTATTTTTTGTTAATCATAAAAACCCAAGGAGAGAGACAGACATTCTTGTACCCATTTTTAAGTGAAAAAATACAGTACAGAAATGTTCAAAAATAAACAGAGTTACTCAAGTTTACAAATCAAATAAAGGTCTGGAAGAAATTCACACCCAGGCCTGCCCACGCTAAGGCTAGTTTCAACCCATGACTAGCCCATCTCATGACTAGTTGCCCATAAACAGCAGGTTACTTTCTCAAATGCTTTAAAATAAACAGTGGAAAATGTTTTAGGGATTGTTCGAAGAAGTCATAGCTGAATAAAGTTTTACTTGCAGTAAGCAAATCAGGCCAGTTCTACAAGCTTAGTGAAATAACAGTAGGGCAAGGGCACATTCAAAAACTAATTTCTATGAGTTTGAGTCACACAACACTTTTTGGAATGTTTGTGCATCATAAAGAAGAAGAAGAATGACAAATCGATCTTTCTGGGACCTTTCTGCCAGTAGTAACTGTAGAGACTACAGACTCTACGTGCCATTTTGAAAGACTGAAATTCTACAGTGACTTACCTGATTTGACCTTTGCCTTTCTCTCTCACTACCCCACTCCTTGCCTTCCCAAATCCCGGGCCCATGCTCTGTGAATTCTGACCAACGTTCCAGGCTCCGTCTCCACTCAGGGCCTTGCACATTCTTGTCCCCTGTGCAGGGAGCTTTTTTTGTTACTATCCTTCACTTTGCTAACTCTTCTTGGGGTCTCAGCTCAAAAGTGAGTGACTCAGGGAAGTCTTACTTCGTACTTGCCTTTCTGGACTAATTCATGCCTTTTGATCTCACCCATATCTTTCCTTCTCAGCATTTAACCATTTTACTTTTCTCCCACTAAAAAGCTCCATAATATGAGGACACTCTGTTGGTCTCTTTGACTCATTCTTTCATCCTTAGCTCCTAGCACAGTGCCTGGAACACAGTGAGCACCCACTAAATCTGCATTGGATGAATAAATGTGTGATTTGACCAGAAATCAACAGCTCTCATGCCCTAGGGATCTGGGCTGCAGCCCTTTCTCACAGGTAGGTCAGTTGCATGATAGACCTGAGTGATCCTTAGTTTCACATGAAATGTTTTCCTCCAGGGATCTCTGGTTTGTATTTTGGGGTCTCTAAAGTCTATCTTTTCCACTTTCATCCAAATCATGTGAGAATCTAATCCATTACAGGATTTCTAAATATTTTGAGAAATAATAATTACCCGATTTGAGATTGACCTTCACGCAGCATAGAAGTAAGTGTTTACTAGGAACTTATGAATACTGTCAGGGAAACTTGTAAATCTTTTTTCTGCCCTTTGATCCAAATTGATCTATTAGAATATTAATGTATTTAGTGGAATCCCTTAATAGGAACAACTCTCCTGAATCACACGGCCATCAAGCAGGACAGTATCTCAGGCATCACGAAGAATCGCAAAGGATCCTGGAACACTTTCTGGGTACAACGGAAAGAAGCTAGGAGAACAAAGCTGAGTCAGCTTAAGAGGACGTGCATCTTAAAAAATAACAAAGTGTGTTGTGCAGAGCAGATTAGGGCTATCGCCTAATGCCGGACTGGTCTTAAATCCCCCCTCCTTCACTGGATACCTCTGGGAGACCCGAGACTTAACTTTGTGTCTCTTGCCATGCAGAACTAGAAGCTTAGTGAAGAATTGTTGAATGTTGAAACCTGAGAATTTCTGTACAAAGAAGCAGGCAGAGGTGTCCACATGTCAGCAAACATATTCTTTGCAACAATTCCAGAAGGTTTAATGTGTTATCCCTCTTCTTTAGATGTAGCTAAAGAAGGCTGAAAGAGGAAGTGGAGTGCTCATTAGTGGCAGTGGCCCCCCTGCACCACAGCGGGGCGCCAGCACTCTCTCCAGGAGGCTGGCACCTCCCGAGCATCTAGTACCCAGGCACCCTGTGTGCCTGGTCAGCAGACAGGGGCCACGGAATAGCTCCGTCCTTAGATACTAGTATAATACCCACACTAGTAGCTAATAATAGTCGGGTTCTAATGCATCACACTATTTCTACACATTTTTATAATACATTTTAAATCCCCCCTTCTTTTATATCTACGTTGTATAACCACTAACCCTTAATTGTGTAATGATATTTCAATTCAAAATCTTTACTTATAAAATGTCGGCACTTGTAATATTGTTGACTTGATGATTTTATTATTATATTTGAAAGTTCTTAAAATCTAAACTAGTTTCTTTATTTTTAAAGAGTCTTAGTCCTCAGCAAAAATCTAGGGCCCTCTTCTTAGAGAGCTGTCCTATCAAGGATCATGCAGTGGTGTAAACATTTTATTGACATGCATGGAATTAAATGCTTTCCTCTCTTTCTTTTTAGCCAAAGGTATTTGTTTAATCTCAGCAGACAAATGTGTTGCTTTATGAAAAGATAATTTCTGAAAATTCAAGCTTATAAATAAGAGGGATATTTTTAATAATGAATTATCCTAGAATATTTAAGCTAAGATTCAGTTTTTAAATATTCAACCACTAAGTTCTTCATAGCTTCAGTTTTTCTCCATAAAATAAGGGACTTGGAATGAGAAAATTTGTTTCCTTATAAAAGGTTTTAAAAGTCTAGGGTGTGGGCCAGGCAAGGTGGCTAATGCCTGTAATCCCAGCATTCTGGGAGCATGCCTGTAATCCTAGTACTCTGAGAGGCCAAGGCAGGAGGATCGCTGGAGGTCAGGAGTTCAAGACCAGCCTGAACAAGACTGAGACCCATCTTTACTAAAAATAGAAAAAATTAGCTGGGCATGTGGTGGGAACTTGTCATCTCAGCTACTTGGGAGGCTGAGGCAGGAGGATCACTCGAGCCCAGGAATTTGAGGTTGCTGTGAGCTAGGCTGAAGCCAGTGTACTCTAGCCCGGGCAACAGAGCAAGACTCTGTCTCCAAAAAAAAAAAAAAAAAAAAATCTAGGGTGTGAATCCAACACGTCTGTGTAAAAGGGACACACACCTATACCATGTCTCATCCTGATCTAGGTACTGTGACGTCACATGTGATGGGAGAGATTCCCTGTTCTTTAAACTCTGCCATGTATCACCTGAATTTGACATGCAATGCAATCAGAAAGCAAAAGGACAACCATGGGAACATCTGCATAGGATCCCATTATTACACGGAAGGCACACTCATTCATCAAGTCAACACATATTTATAGAACCTCTACAGTTGCTAAGCACCTGCAATTAAAAGTTTCCTGGTACCTTCGGGGACCCAATAAATGATAA